TTAGCTGAAAAACTTAGTGAGAGAGAGCAATGTCTTAAATTTTACCTTGAACAAATACGGGAGAGAGCTTCTGTGGATTTTAGGGATCAGTCTTCACCTTTTCTGCACCAATCCGTTAATAAGGATAGTCAGGGCAGATCTACACCAACCAACAAAGGTGATGATTGTCAAGTAGATGGCTGTGCTATTTTAGGAAACTCTGTACTTGCAATAGGCAATTGTGCTTTGCAACAATCACTGAAGCGAAGGATTAAAAGAATTCAGAAAAGACTTATGGCTCTGAAATTTGAATTTTCTGAGCCTCCTGCTGCTCCTGAAAATACTGGTATTGGATATAGAACTGCAGTGGGAACTGCTAGAGCAAAAATTGGGAGGTGGCTTCAGGAACTTCAGAAACTTCATCAAGAAGGAAAAGAAGCCTCAAGTATAGCATTAATAACCGCAGAAATGGTCAAGGTATGTCATTTTAGACCACCATTCAAGGATATTATGAGCCTTAATATTTATTATGCTTCTGATGTTTCAACATGGGATGTTTGCTATAAGGATATTATGAATGATAATGGAATTTCTAGGGCCCTTAGTGGTAAGTTTCAGAAAATATATTCTTTCAATCATTCTAAGAAATACTCTGATTAATGCGCTCTTTTGATTGTTAAGAGGATTTTGGCTGGCTAAAAGTTGCCATTTCCTTAGATTTAGACAACTGTAAAATCTGCTTTTATCTTATTCAAGCCTTTTCCTCTATATGCTCATCTTTGTTCTTTCATAAAATATAGTAGCTATAGATAAGTTCTCTTTTTATTTATATTGAAATGGTGGTAGAATAAATAGTTCTAGCCAGTCTTTCTCTCTCTCTCTCTCTATATATATATATATGTGTGTGTGTGTGTGTGCGTGCGTGGAGGGTGGGGTGGGAAGGATAGGGAATGACTCTCCTTCTAATTTATTGCTTATGAAAATTTCCTTGTGAATTAGTTTTTGGAGGGAAAGGAATCTGAGCTGCAGGCTTCTTGCCAAGCTGATCTGCTTGATTTTATTGCTTCTGTCCTGCTTCACATACATCAAAACCTGAAGCTTGTCAGGTGACAATACATCTTTTAAAACTTCTGAGGATGCTGCTATCTACTCCTGTGAACAGGAGTTATTTTCTTGCTCAGGATCTTTTACCTCCTATGATCCCCATGCTGTCCACAGCACTTGAGAACTATATAAAGATTGCCACATCTTTGAATCTCTCTGGAAGCACCAACACACAATTTCGAGTCAGTCTATGAAGTATTGGATGGTTTTTTATGGGTCACCTCCTCAATTATTGGTCATATAAGCTCTGATGAACAGCAACTCCAAATGCGGGATGGTTTGCTTGAGTTATTAATTGCCTACGAAGTTATTTACTGGCTGCCAGATCTTTTTGCACTGTATGATAGGCCCCAGGTTGAAGGGTCATCTTTCCCTTAATCTATTCTCGAGTATCCATTTACTGGTGGTTTTGACATCCAGTCCTGGAAATAGTTCCTTCAGTTGGGAATCTTTACCTATTGAAATCGAACTGGGTGATGCAAGTCTAGAAACTAAGATTCCTGCCTCACCTGATTCTGGATGTTACTTTGTTAGTAATAACACTGGAGACAATAATCCTCCATTATCTGCCCTAAACGGTGGCATAGTTGCCGCTATCTGATGTACCAGAGGATAGACTATCAGATGAACCATGTAGAATAAATAAGAATGATAATCTAGCATTCATTGGCAAAGATGGTGAAAACAAGACAACTGATAGTTCAGTTGAGTTGAACAACCTTAGCACGTCCAAGATAGATGTTACAGATGTATTACAGAAAACTGTAGTTGAGCAGAAGGAAGGGAAACTCAACATGGTTGCCAGTGAGGAGAAACTGAATGAAAACATATCAAGCTTGAGACAGCCATTGGGATTCCTTCTTTCAACTCTATCTGAAACTGGATTAGTCAGTCTTCCTTCACTGTTGACAAGCATACTACTTCAAGCAAACAATAGATTACCTTTTCAGCTGGTAACTTCGCCGGCTCTTGAAATGTCTCTTTTTCCTTCTTTTCTTTTTTTATTTTATGGGATGGAATAGAACAAGTTTGTTTTATGGAATCTTTTAAACTTCCAGCAGTTTGGCTCTTTTGTTTTGGTCCTGTTATCTTTTATTCTGATTCTGTGATAATTTGGTGTGCCTTATATTACCTGGTTTTTCCACTAGTGTTTTGTGGATTCTGTTTACATTTTTGCATCCGCTCATGTTATATTGTCTTTTGCTCTATGGTTTTTGAGCAGTAAGAAGGAGATTCATGCTAGGACACGGCCAATGCAATAGTGAGTGGCTTTTTCTGAAAATTAATTTTGGTTTGAGCAATTTTTATCGCTATTGTCTGTTTGTGGTTAGATGGCCTCATTTTACTAATTAAAAATCGTTATATTATGAATTATCTATATTTGGAATGAGATTCTTACTAAGGGCATGGTTTTGAATAGATAAAGTGGTCAATATCCATAGAACTGAGCCCACTTGTTGGAAAAATGCTTACTTTGTGGTTGTTTAAGGAAGGAGCATTCTAGTGGCATTATAAAATGCCAAAGATACTATTTTGGTAATTAATCATCGATTCTGTTTCAGGCTTCAAATGCCCTTCCATCTAATTTCAAAGAGGTGGCAACTGGAGTACTGAAGGTTCTGAACAATTTGGCTCTATTGGATATTACATTTATGCAGAGAATTCTGGTTAGTAAATTCTGTGCATTTTGTTGGATGTTGGTTGCATGGTGCTTGATGATAGTGGCTTCTCAAGCTTAACCCCATGATTCTTTTCATGTTTATGCTGATTTTGATATATGTGAAAAAGAAAATTTTTTTGAACTAATTTGGTCCTCTTTTTTTATCCCTTGAACACGTTCAGGCTAGGGCAGACCTGAAAATGGAGTTCTTCCACTTGATGAGTTTCCTTCTTTCTTATTGCACGAGCAAATGAAAAGCTTCTTGCTTACTTTGTCTTGTTCCACCCTGGGAATCAAGCTGTTCTTAGATGGAGCAAAAGTCCCAAATCCTTCACAAGGTTAGTGAACTCTTCATAATTTTTTTCCTCTTATCGTTAGATGTTACTTGAGAAGCTAACTGTTGAGCTGGAAGGACACAGGTGTGTGATCTGCTTTTCGTGCTCTTCAGCGACCCAGAATTGATGCCAGTCTTGGCAGGGATACTTCTTGCAGCCTCTTATGGTCTTTAACAGAATAAGGGTGTAGTTCAGCAGGAACTAAGTATGGATATGCCACTGTCCTCGCTAAGATCTTGTAGAAATATCTTACCAACAGTCAGATCCAATTAAAACCTGGAAATTCTCTTAGGAGAGGACTTGAATGAGTGTAACAAGCAGGATTCTGATTTTAAAAGATCTCAGAGGGATGGATATTCCCCTAAGATCTAACCGTTGCAACACCAGAAGCACAAGGGTCTCTGGGGGAAAGAGCAGTGCTTTAGGAAACAGCCTCAGAGTGGGCAAGATGAGAAACCAAAGAGATTGCAAATCAACAAAAACTTGTGAAGAAACAATTATTAGACAAAATCTACCAGTTTTGGGGACTTCAATAATGTTGTACTGTAGATTCCCTAGCTGCTTCATTGACAGAGCAGAGCAGTTCTTTTCAGATGGGGTCACCAATATTGGTGAAGTGTGAGGTAACCTACATGAAATTCTTTCTCATCATATTGGTTTTTACTGGCTTTGCAGCTGAAATTTCCTGAGGTCATATGCCTTAATACTGCACTAGTGACTCTTTTTGTGCTGCAGCAGATGCTTTGCAGAAATCTGCTACAGTTTAAGATTCTGATCACTAGGCTTCTTCCAAGTTATTTATTGTTGGGCTTGGAGTTCAACTATTAGTAAAATAATGAGTTCTGGTTGGGGTTGGGGTTCAAGTTGCAACTTTCAATACAAAAAGACAAGTGGGATATCAGCTCTTTTGCTATTGGCTTTGAATCCATTGATCAAATTCAACCAATGAGTTTTATCATTGAATATTGCAAACCATCCATGGAAGGTGGGCTCCCTTTTTCCCAAGCATAGGGGCGCATAACAATGTCAAATTCAAGTCTTATGTAAAGGAGTATGCAATTTGTGCTGCTAACAAGAATCAAAGTCAAATAGTATCAGTTTTTTAGAATATTAACATGAAAATTTTATAATATTAATTTGCTTGGACATCAACAGAAATAGGAGCAGATTATAAACATTTGTCTTTCCTTGAACGAAAAGAAACAAAGGCTTTGCCCTGTGCCATTAATACTTATTTTCGATCTGAGTAGCACATTCCAAAACATTGAATAGGGTTAAGGAGAGGTGAGAAAAACCCCAGAGAGAAGCCAGAGTGTATGAAACTCAAAAGAGAAGGAAAGCAAGATTCTTTCTTGGGTAAAATAACATGAGCCCAATTGTATCTGATCCTTGTCCTGTACATGCAATATCACAGCACTCTTGGTCTTGCATTAGATGATCAACCTTGGCAAGGAACAGTGTTGATTTTGCTTGTGCAGGTGGGCCATTGGTATCCATATAATTTGCCAACTTGTCCACGTGTGATTATACCCTACCATTCAAGGAGAATAAGGCATATATAGCTGCATCAGAACGGAATTGACGTCGTGAGAAATGAGAATCCTTTTTGATTGATTCCATACCTCCATTCACATCTTTGCTACTTTCAACATAGAAGTAAGGTTTAAGTTTCCTTATTAATGATAATTTTACAAGCATGGTTTAATCAACTAATTGGAAAAGAGACCGACTTAAAAAAAAATTCATATTCTACTTTTTAAGAGTTTTTTATGGTAAAAAAATATATATAAAAATGTATTTATTATAATTCAAAAATTGATTCAATTTATTCATATAATTATCATTAAAGAGTAATATTCAATAAATTTAAGACTTAAATCTTAATACTTGTAATTTTTTTTCTTGTTATGGCTTACTTTGTAAAAAAAAAAAAGTTTTTACTGTAGAGAAAAGAAGGATCTGAAAATGGAAACAACTTGAAAATACAGGCATTTTTGCATGAGAGATTCTTTGCTTTCATCAAAAGCTGGATTCCCTGAATTGTGTGCCAGCCCCTGGAGGAGTCATGGTTAAAGGCACCGTTAGACTTTCTTGATCTCCAATCTTTTTATTCCAATCAACAGCCAATGGATCTTGTCTTATTTAAAATCAAACAGTTCCCACGGGAAAAAAGGCAGGAGAATCAGACAAGAGTTGGTTGCAGAGATTTTGCATAATCAAAAAGTTAATTGAGCAAAGGAGGTAAGTACCTCCAATTCCAATGAAAAAGCTTTCAGTTAATTAATAATATTGTTGTCAAAATTCTGTTACAGAATTCTCTCATTTATGGCTTCAAAATGCTTGAAGAATTTCCTGAACTTTACCATGTAAAAATTGGAAACACTTTTTTTTTTTAATCCTGTCTGGTTGAAGGGCTTTGGTTTCATTTACAAACTGAAATTCTAAAACTATGTACCGCTATTAAAAACCAATCACGCCGAAATTCAAGGAAAGGCTAAAACATAGTAAGTTATCATCATTATTGTTGCAGCTGAACATGTCTGGTAAAGATTTATGCCAAAGTTTTTTGCAGACCATTGTTGTTATTCTTGGTTGTTGTCTCTCTTGTTTATGGTTAATAACTATATCAGAGTGAGGTTTGCTGGTCCAGGACGAGGAACGCAGAAGCAGTGCCGGAGGAAGAAGAGCATAGTCTTTCAAAGGAGGTACAAATTTATGTATTTTACAGTATTAGAACCTACTTATATTGAAACATCATATACCTAGTAAGAATTGTACATTGAAAGAACATCACAGAGGAGAAACCAATGCTACGAAAAACCGTCTTTGAATAACGTCGAACTTGAAAGGATAATCCCATGTAATGATAATCATGAAGCGAACGTGTTTCAATTGCTAGCTTTTGCAGATAACAAGGTTCAGATCTGGTTCCAAAAGCAGTCTTCCTGGCAAATGAACAAGGAGTATGACACTGAATTTGCTGTTGGAGTGGCAGCTGCTGCATGTGCCATCAACTCAATTGAAGAAGATGAAGCACAATATAGGATCAAGATAGAGAGATCAAGAAAAGACACCACAACCAGATTGCAAAAGTCTGATAGAGTAACTAAGCGATACTCTAGCAAGGAAACGGAAACTGCAGGTAATAATCAATATTTGGCACTGCCTAGTAATAGCTTTTGCAAGATCTTTGTTAAAAGTAATTCAATATTCATGTCATGGTATTTTAATCCCCATATGGGTGAACTGATTTTAGTTTCGAAGACCCTTGAAGTTTAACAAGTCTTTTGTGAGAGAATAACAATGGATTCCATTTTTTTTATTCTCCTCAGGTGAAACTTCCAGCAGAAAGTCAATGGAACAGGATTATAGGAGGCAAGAGAGCACTTTACCAACAACCAAACCTCGTCGTTCATCAGCTGCTAGGCCTATGACAAAGGAAGCTGAAGACCAAAGGATGAAGGGAACTTATTCCCCACTCAATGTTCTGGAGACAAAAGCTGATGCTTGGGAGAAAGCTCAGTTGGAAAAAGTTAACAAACGGTAATCGTTAATTATTTTCAACCCTTCAGAATAGGAGAACACCCTGAACAATCACAAGATGTTTGTGGCACCACCAATAAGTATACTTACAACATGAATATTCAACTATGAGATACAACCTTTCTCATGCTCAACAACTTCTGAAATATGTTGTAATACTAATATGCAATAGTTCAGGTATGAGAATGCGAAAGCATCAATTCTTGTGTGGGAGAACGAAAAAAAGCTTCGAGCCAAAGTTAAGATGGACAGGAGAAAGGTTAGACTTCAATTTTTAGCTACTATTATTATTTAATTCACTTCACAAATGCCATAAACTAAATGCCACTTGCTTGAGTCCTGACTGCCTGAACTGCAGAAAGAATTGGAGCAGAGAATAAAAAGGACCGAACTACTTTACCAGTCGAAGATAGCAAGAATTGATCATATTGCTGGTGGAGCAAGAGGACAGGCAGATGAGAAAAGAAGAAATGAGGAATTGAAGATCAAAGAAAAAGCAAGGAAAATAAGAGCCTCAGGAGAGGTTCCTGTTACATGTTTCTGCTTCTGAATGACATGAAAATCTAAAGACATTTGAATCAGGAACAAGATCTACTCTTTTAAGTCAGATAAAATGCATTTAGAAATCCAAAATGTTAATCATGTGTGAGAACATGAAATGTCTACAATATTTCTATGTATTTGCCAGTCCATCTAAAATGTAATACATTCTGAGAACTGTACACAATTGTATATAGTGAAAATGTTAAATACAGTTAAAAACCAGATGAATGATTGACATGTTTATAACCCCTTGCACTTTTCTGCTAAATTTTTGGACAGGTGTATGGTGAATGAGCTTTGTTTTATATTAACAATTCATATACCTTTCTTATCAGTACCAGTTTTATCAGCGAAAGCATGCATCAGAAATTGTGGTGTATGTATAGCTGCCTCTAGTTCCTAGTTAAGGGAACAAATGCTGGTTATGAATTCTCAGGCTCTTTCCAAAAGATGCAGTGTAAATACCAGCACCTTTCTTGGATCATACCGCCCGTTCACTGATTTTCATGCATGTTGAATGTTATTAGCCGTGAGGGATTTCAGTTGGGTTAAAAATATGCCCACCATGGCTGTAGATTCCATTCATTCACCAACCGGCTTATGGAGTTTGCATCCTTTTATTGAACGGTAATGGAGAATAAGGAATATATAGCGGAAAAGAAAGGGAATAAGAATTGGTCCCTTCTTAGTTTCCACCAGCCTTTTTCTTTGTTTAATGTCTTTTATTCCCTCCTTTTTCATACTTTGAGGCTAGATGTATGCTGTGAATCATGTTAAACAAACAACAAAGGAAAACTTCATAGAAAAGAGGTGCATGGTAGAGAAAAGCAAGCAAGAAAGTTAACCTAGATTTCATTAAATTTGCATGTGAAATTGACTTAGTTCACTTTCCTTTTCCTGTAAGAAGCTATAAGTACGTGTCTTAGCAAGTGTTCTTTGCAAATCACACACTTCTTCTGGGAAAGATCAAATTGCACAACAGGGGAGTTTCTAGTATAGAGTTGTCTGAGAATGGAAAACCAAATCAAGCAAAGCAGGTTTGTACCTCCGACTCGTTTTTGTTCTACAATTTGTAAATCTTGTTGAAGTAAGGAACCTGCTGGTGGCTACTGTTGTACCACTTGGCAATAGATTTGTAAATCTAATGTTCCACTGTGGTAGAAACACAAATTTGACAACATGACAAATTAATTGGCCTAATTTTTGCGTGTACTGATTGAAGTCTTTTGAAATGAATTGTAGAATAAATGCTTTCTTGGCAGGAGGAAAAAACTCAAGCCAGGACGCATCTTTTTCATATTTCCATTCTTCCTTATTCTTATGTAGCAAGATGAAACTAGTTAGAAAATCATATTATCAGTGGAACACTAGATTCTTTCACTTTTTGTGTTTCGACACCTTTTAGATTCTTGGTGGATCAAAATATAAACAAATGGTAAAACCAGGAAGAATTCAGTATCATCACTGAAAATATATTCTATAACAAAATGTTCCTATTGTCGTACGGTTCAAGTAAGGCCCCCAAAGATGACAATAGAACATTATAAAAAGTGAAGCCATGTTTTGAAATTATCATTCATTACAATTCTTTTGCATATTCTCTGGTGCTTCAGCATAGAACTTTTTGTACTTTAGACGGGCGGATTGCGTGTTTTGTGGTTGATATATGCAACAAAAGTACTGGAAATGTTTGTTATTGCTTTTTTTTTTTTTTTTGAAGAAAACAAAACTGGTTCCAGAAGCATTTTTTGAGTCGAAACAGTCAAGATAATCGTCCCATAGAAGGTGCATATGAAGCTGCAGTTGCTGCAGCTGCATTTGCTATTCAGTCGGTTGAAGAGGCCAAAGCCGCCAAGCTCAAGAGTGCCAGCTGGAAAGAAAATGGCAGAAATGGTATAACCAGCCAATTCTCATTCAAGAAAACAAAATATGCAGGTAGCTTTTGACAATTGATATGATTTGCTAAAGTTTTTTCATTTCAAGAAACTAACGAAGACTATGTAACAGCTGAAAAGTCCAAGGACAAGCCAATGGAACAAAAAACCAAGGAACTAGGGAGAGTTTATTCAGCTGCCAAGCCAAGCTCTAAATCGGCTACAATACCAATAGCACCAGGAGATAATGTTGAATGGTAAGTGTTTACTTTTCAAGCATATCTTTCTTCTTCTATTTTTCTTTCTTTTTGAGAGTTTCCAAATCATAACAAGTAGATCTGGCAATTTTAAAGATACATCATGATACAACACGAAAATGATGTGGAATTATCATAATTTAAAATTATAAAAAAGCCTATATATGGGTCTATAAAAAATAAAAATATATATGTTTCATATTTGGTGCGTCAACGTGGACACAAATACACCAATTGTCAGATCTAATACCAAGGAAGCAGCTGGTATTTTTATCACACAGACTATCAAAAAGATGCAAAACAAATTTTTTATGCTTCAACATGCCTAACATCGTTTAAGATAAAAGCCGAAACTAGCTTTTGACTCTTTTACTAACCTTCATGATCTCAGGTTTAACAAGCTGAAATCAGTTGTTGCTTGCGGAAGTGACAAGATACTGAAAACCAACGATTAAACAAAAAAGAACAAAGGTTTTTATTTAACTTTTATTGTCAATTATCATATGTATTTCGTGAGTGCCTATGGTAAAACACTAATGCCACTCTTGATTATTGACACTGCGGAACACACTGGAGCTGAGAAGGGCAAGCAATGCACAGCATTACTAAAAAAGGCAAGACAGGAATCTAGATTTATCAGATTCCTGGATAGAGAAGATCACCAGATCAGATAATGAAATAAATTTTTATATACAATCAACATCTTTCAGGCTAGAACATGTAACAATTTGATATATATGATCATGTAGCATGAAGGCAAAGGGATTAGCAATAATTTTGCTCTATATGTCCCTTTTCTTCTTGATCTTTAAACTATATTTTGCTTTAGGCTGGATACATCCTTTTCCACTCAACAATTAAGGTGAAATAGAAAATACTTAAAAATTTGGTATTCACAATAGTAGAATGAATAACTCATGGGAAAGAGGAATATTTGATATGAGCTTACTGGAAGAAGCTTCCAAGTCATTATTTCCTTGGTTTAAAGGAAATAGTACATTATCTGGGCCATACCATTGTCAATGATTCTCTAGTTTTTCTTCACAAGATAGTTGTGCTCACCGACAAGGCCGCCACGAAAACTGTCATCACTTCCTTTGACACTAACAGGATTGTAACCATCATCACCATTAGATCACTGCAATCTTTTACCATGTGGTATCATATTAGTATTCATTAGCACTGCCAAGGATCAATGATGCTCTCCAAGATTAAAATATGATACAAAATTGTCTTCAATTAGTCTCACATTACAATGATTTGTACCCTGATTCGAGTCCAAACTGATAATAACCAGTGCATTTAAGAAATAAGTCCTAGAGTACTAGCAAGAAGGACTGCAAGGCTATGACTTTTCGGAATGTATTGTCATCTGTTGGTTTAATTCAATCATTATTGTGGAGATCAATCATATATATACAGATGAAAAGGATATTGTGATTATTTCTTATCTGCACATATTAGAACAGTAGTGTTGCTAGCCTATATCTCTGTGAAAAAGAAAAGGGCAAAGGAGAAAGAAAGTTTAGAATTGCTGGCTGCCTCAGTCTAACAAAGGGAAAAACGCAACATCTATTGAAACCAATGACACTGCACATCTCTCATCTGGATTGCAGCAACAAAAGCTAACATGCATGATCAAAACCTTTGTTTTTTATCATTTTCATGGGGTATAAAATGCTTTAACAGCCTAAGAAAGGCAACCTGTAAAATGAGATCAGTGATCAGTTATGATCTCAGCAAAGACCTTCGGGAAACAAATGTACATTCACATCAGAATGAAAGCAGAAGGCAACATCTATATTCTTAGAGTACCATATATTTTCAACTGCTTATACAATTGATTCCACATTTTATTCCAAACGATTTCAGTGACATCTGGCATCCCTTTCTAGCGTTAAATTCCTCATTTTCTCACCCTCAAACCCACATCACAAGCTGCCTCCTCTGTCCCTCTTTTCTTTTATTTCCCCTTCAATTCTCAAATGCAATGAATTTTGGTCCCTAGTTTTAAATAAAAAATCTCCTTGAGATTCGTAGTCGAAATCTAATGCATGAAAATATTGGTGATACACGTGGTGGTTCTATACGGCTCAAATGAATAGGTCCACGTGGTAGATGATGGCTTTGTTCACGTGTCATTGCTTCCTACAGTCCAATCTCTGGTTGACAACAAAGAAAATAGCGAAGGTTGTGTCGGTTGATTTTATGAGTTTTAGGTCTATTGAGATATACGATGAAATTGATTATAACAAAATTAAAAATAATAATAATTATTATTATAATTATAATTTAAAAAATTTTCATTAAAAAATTTATACTAAATAAATTTTATTAAAATTTATATTTAAATTCAACAAATATTAAAGCTACGGTAGAATCTAAAAATAAAGATGTCACATCTAAATGATTGGTAGCTTTGTTCCGTTCATGGGAATTTTTGTCTGTTTCTTGTCGTTATGGATATGATCGCACTGATATCTATGAATCTGCTAACAAAATTGGTAGCTTTTCAAGGATGTGTACATATCATATATGGACAAATTTGACCATATTAATTTCCTTTATTTGAGTAAAATTGGTAGCTGAATTTTGATTCGAATTTAATTTCAATTATTAAAATTTAATTTGTATCAACAAAATTATTAAACTTTGTTAATTATATTAAATTTATTCATTCTAACAAAATTAACAAAAATATAATGTGATTGTTAGGTAAGTGACCACATTAATACCATGTTAATTTTGATTTGATTTTCAGCTTATTTATTATGAGTTTCTCTTTGTATTTTGAATTATTTTTCAATTGATTTTTTAATAATTTTTTATGAAAAATCAGATTTTTAATGGAGTTCGGTTGGATTTTTTCGGATGTGATCGGTTTTTGTTGCCGATGCAGAAGTTGATGGGGGAATTTACGTGGAAACTATATCATTTTTCGTTAATTTTTTTGATAAAATATGTTGGTTGACTAAATTTAATATAATTGTCAAAGTTTAGTAATCTTTTTAGTACAAAATAAAGTTTAATGATCTAAATGACATTTTGGTCGTCAAAGGTGAAATATTAATAATATTTGTTATTAAAATACTTAAATGAAATCTTTATTAGATACAATTAAATGAAAATCTAAATAAAATGGTAGTGTTAATTACTCAATTAAGGTTGTATTGAATATTTATATAGAGATTAAGATAATATTTGGTATCATCTTTAAGATCATCATGATAATTTAATTATTATAATGATATGATAATCAAAGTGATTTGATTACTAATGATTTAAGTTATCATATTTGGTACAATATTATAAATTATTAGTACTTTCAAATCAATGTATTAGGTATTATATGAAAAAATAAATCATATAAAATAAAATATCCAAAATAACCTTATAAAAAATATTTAATATTTATTGATCCAATAATTTATTTAACAGTTAAACGTTATTTTATAAAAAATTACAAAGTATAAATTGATTTTGATAAAACTAATTTTTAAAAAATTATTAAATAAATTCATTATCCTTTTTTCAATTAATATAAATTTGTAACATAAAAACTTTTTAGAATAAATTATTAAAAAGTTAATTTTTAAAAAAAATTTATTAGTTTATTTTTTGTGAGAATAAATTAGTTAGAAAATGATATTGAAATTTATTTTTCTCACAGTGATAAAATTTTTTATCTTTTAAATTGAAAATTAAATCACTCTTTAAGATAGTGATGTTATGTGTAGACATCGAATTTTATCCGAATCTTTTATATTGAAATTATTAATTATAATAGTAAATAATAGTAATAAAAAATAAAATAATAATAATAAAAAATATTTTTTAAAAATTTTTTAAACAAATAAATACAAAAAAAAAAGAAAAGTGGTAGAAAGCAGAACGATTGATGCCTGACACCAACCACCATGTTGCCCCCTACAGTTTACCCTGTAGCTGCCCCTGTCCAGCCCAACCAACCACCCTCTACAACCTACCCCAACCACTCCCTATAGCCACCCCTCCAAACACCACATGTTCTCCCTTTAAAGCTCTTTAAAAACCCTCCAGCTTCTTCCCATTAGGACTTTTCTCTCGAACATATCTTCGAACGCCCAAGAATCCATTCATTTTACCCCTACCAGAAACCCCCAAGCTTAAACAAACTATCCTCTTAAAATATTTTCAACAACCCCAGACAAAACCCACATCTAACCACAAAAAAAAAAAACAACACAAGCAAAACTAAAAAAAAAAAAAGATAAACACAATCCTCTCTACGGGGAAGAATTCAGCGCCGAGCTACCTGTAAAAGTTAAAAAAAAATCACATCAGTTTCGTTTAAAAAAAAAAAGAAGAAGGTCGAAAACTTCGAGCCCCGATCTATGACAATCGAGGCTGTTTCTGGTTTAAAAAAAATCAGATTTGGAAAAAAGACGTTGAAAGGAGTTTCTGAAAGATTTTTCGGTGTTTCGACCACGGACGATGATTGTCAGGGGTGATTAGGGTTGGTAATTTAACCCATCACCGACAGGTTTCGACCCAACTCGACCCTACGGGGTCAATTTTCTTTTTTGAAATTCGGGTTTCATGTCGGGTCGGGTCAGGTTCTGGTTTTAGGCAAACTCGACCGATATTATATAAAAAATTATTTTTTAATTAATTAATTTTTTTTTTATTTATATATATTTATATAATGATATTTTTAAATATTATATTTAAAAAATAATATTTTATTAATTTCGGGTCAGGTCGGATTCAGATTCGAGTATGAAAAAACAAAAAAAATTTGGGTAAAGTCAGGTTCGAGTTTGATAACACATAAAGTCGAATCGGGTTCGAGGCAAGCAAGACTCGCCCCGAACCCGACTTGATGTCAACTCTAGTGGTGATCCAGACAGCGACCGAAGCGACGGTCCGGAGGTCGGACGGGGGGAGAGCTCTGAAGTGTTTTTTTTTTTCTGAATGTGGTATGAAATGAATAAAAAAAAATGGCTTTATATAAAAAGCAAAAGCCCAAAACGACACCGTTTTAGGTCAAAGAGGATCTGCGCATGGACCCGTATTCGACCTAGGATCTGCGCAACCCAATTGAGTGACCCGCTTTAGCCAACCTTGAACCGGTCCAAAAAAATCCTCAGTGAACCGGTTCAGACCAGTCTGAACCGCCAAATAGTTTAACAGACTAGACCAGTCGTTGACCGGTCTAGTTCAGGTAAAAAGAAAATTTTTTGAATTTTTAAATTTTTTTATTTTGAGTATTTTTTTTTTATATTCATGTATGATAAATTTTTAAATTTATTAGAATAATTATTTCATTGTTTTTAATAATAAAAAAATGAAATAAAATAGGATAATAACTAAAAAATACTAAAAATGCTAAAACAATAATAATAATAATTTTAAAAAAATAATAAAAATTGAATAATATTATTTTATTTTATTTTCCCTGCCTAAATGTTGGAGGGAATAAAAATATACTTCTAAAAATAATTTCGTCTTGATGTTGGGGAATTATTATAAAATAAAATTAAAATTAAAAAGTATAAAAGGATATTAAATAATAAATTAATAATATTTTTAACAATAAATTTTCATTAAAAATATATATGAAAACTTTTAATTAATTTTTAAAAATTAAAAAAATTGAACTTGCTTCAAAAATTCGTCTAGATATTAAAAATTTTTAGAGATGTTCATATTTTCATTAAACCCTAAAATTAAAAAAACTTAAACCTTAAAATCGAAAACCTAAAACCAAAACCCTGAACTCTCCAACCCTAAAACTAAACTTTAAATCCTCCAAACCCAAAACCTTTCAAACCCTGAAATCAAATCTCTAAACCCTCCAAACCATAAAACAAATCCCTAAATCTTCTAAACCCTAAACCTTTCAAATCCTAAAATTAAAACCCTAAACATCAAAACCTTAAAATTGAAACCCTAAAATCAAAACCCCAAATCTCAAACTTTAAAATTGAAGCCCTAAAATCGAAATCTCAAATTTCAAACCTTAAAATTGAAACCTTAAACCCTAAATTTTAAAATCAAATCCTTAAACTTCTAAACCATAAAATCGAAAACCTAAACCCAAAATTTTAAAAACCTAAAAATTCAAGACCCCATAAAATCCAAATCCTAAAATCCAAAACCTTAAAATCCAAAATTCTAAAAGCCCCAAATTCGGTATGCATTCCCGAATCATTACCAAAAAATCATTCAAACTTTAAAACTTCAACCCATACCCAGGTTAAAAACCATAAAAAAATCCTAAAAACACATGTGAAAATTTCACTTGAGGTAATTTGTTCTCGAATACCGCTTAGATGATGGGGTGTTTAAGAAACCTTATTTCATTAAGTTTTTCATACATGTCCTTAATTCGTTTTAATAATGGAATTAAAACTTTAATAAAAAGAATAATAGTAAATTAAGATCTTAAATATAAACAGTCGCACTTAAGCTTTATCTAGATATTGAGAGTCAAAGTGGTCTCATTATATTTAAGAATTCATTTTTTTTAAATTGCATTTTATCATTTGGCATAATATCCATGAGCATACATGCATCACTATATTATTGTTGAAGCTCATTTCGTATTTCTCTATCTTTAATTTTTATTTATCACCTGACAATTCCATTCTTATTTTCTCTTATAAAATGTTTTACAAGACAAAAATATATATTTTTAAAGTGGTGATGTTATAAAATAAAACAAAAATAACATTCTGAAGAAAATAATTCTTGGTATTCTACCTAAATGTTAGAAAGTCACCAACAATAATCTTCTACAAATAGTATTATTTTTATTTTAAGGAATATTATGTTAAATTTTAAGCGAAAAGAGTTATTTTAAATTCTGCCTAGATATTAGAGAATTTTAAGATAATTTTTTAACTTAAAGATTTCTTCAATATTCCTAAAAAGGAATTTTAACCAAAATTTATTTTTTTAAAGTGAAGGGAATTAATGTTAAATTTCAAATTGAAACCTTTTTTATCCAACACCGAAAATAGTGCTTAATTAAATAGTACCAATTTATGGGCGTTGTGGGGGTGTTAATCTTTTCTTACACGTAACCGACTTCCGGACTCAACTTGATTTTTCGTAGATCAAAATTTATCTTTTTGATAAACTTTAAACTCGCTTTTATAATTTTATTAAAAAGATAAACTTTTAGGTGACCAATTATATCTTAATAAAAATTAGTGATGACTCCCTTTTATTTTTTTCAATATAAAACACTTTACATCTGACGGTCCTAAAATTATTACGATATTATGACCTCAATGATTTAAGATCACTATCATATAAATTTTTTAAATTATTATTGAGCAAGATAACATAATTATTGAGTGCAAATCATCATAATTTTTAAATAAATCATCTTATACCGAATACTTTCGAAGTGTATGAACAGAAAAAAAAAATTGAGAAATATTAATTTGAGAAGCAAATTTGATAATAAGTAATGGTGAACATGATTTGAGTGGATGATTCAAAAATTAAGATTATGGATCATCATTCATACAAAATTGGTCCTGAAATATTTAGATCACGGACGGATCCATGACTTTCTAGAACCACAAAGCATCATGTAGAATCAGTTTGGTGCGGTTCAAACTTTACCTTAGATCCTAAAATATTTTCATAAGAACATATAAAATAAATAATATTGAGAAATATCATAAATAAAAATTATAATTGCACAATCTAAATTTATGAACCCACATTATAATTCATATTAAAATTAAATATTACAAATTATAAAGTACAAACATCAACAAATTTATGAGCAGAAAATCTTCAAATTCAAATATTGTGATATGTAAATTTTTCTATTACCTATGATAAAACAAAATAAATTAACAAAAAAATTAGTAGGATATAAAGAATTATTAAGAACTAAATTATTTATTAAAAATTATTTTTATCCAAGTATTACATTTAAATATCGATCTTAAAGTCTAATTTAATTTATGACATTGACACCGCACCAATGAAAAGTTTTAGAAAATCAGGATCCCAACAATTAAGTCACAGGGTCCCTGCATTAGGACACTCCTAGGCCACTTGTTAAATATATGAATGGTTTATAAATTAATGGAGTCAAAGCACATATATTTATATTTTTGGGATCAAATCCATCCTATGGTCCCAAGAAATTAAGAGGCAGTGAGAAGGATTGATTTAAGCTCTTATTCTTTATAATAATTAAAAAAAAAAAAAAACTCATGGAATCTAAAGACTAAAGAGTAAGAGTTGGGAGAATCAATTCATCATCATCATGAGTCAGTTGATAGTACCAAATTGGAATCCAAAGCACCAAAGCCAAGAACAAGTCGTAGAAGAAGGCAACAGATCTTCCCACGTGCTCAACCCAAGTAACAGTCATCACTTTGTCCCCATGTATGAACTGTCAGTCCATCTAGCTATTCTCTGTTTGCATGCCTGGGCTGCCCTTTCAGTTTCTTTCCGTGGTTATCTGATACACTTTTTTTTTTCCTTTTACTTTGTGTTCATGGAGTTGAACTTTAATTTGGGAGGAATCCCACTTTGTATTTTTATGCCTCCCTGCTGTCTGTCTGATTTCTAAGGAGTACTCTTTTTCTTGTTTGGAGGGAATCAAACAAAAGAAAACAAAGCTGAAAGCATAGCTTAAGAGCTATACTCCATTTCCCTTACACTTTTTGTGTCAGCTGCTTTTGTTTTTCTTCATAATTACCTTCTTGCTCTTCCAGTTTGAAATATTTGTTAGTCTTTTGTTTCGGAGCTCACTTCTTCGATCATGGGACTGCCTTGATTCAAGCATTTTTGTACTTGAAATTCAGGTCCAACTATGAACTTGCAGGGCTAACATGGGAAAATGGTCAGTTAGTCATGCATGGGCTCAGTGGGCTCCTTCCTACTGCCCCAACAAAGCCAACATGGGGTAGGTCCAGTGACACACTAGAGTCCATTGTCCATCAAGCCACATGCCACAACCAAAAGCAAAACTTCGACTTACTTCGACTTGGCCAGACCCCGACAAACAGGAGTTCCATTGCTGCGTCATCCGGGGGAAACTGGGCGGAAAGCCCTGGTCGATTGCCAGTGGCAACAGCAGCGTTGTTAAAGAAACGGGCACGGTCGGATTCTGATCAATGCAGGAAAAATCTAGGTGGTGGTATTCAAGAAGATAGAGCAGACCGTAGCCCATGTGCTAGTGCTACATTTTGCAGGGACAATGATACAGCCATGATGACTTGGGCTTCCCATGAAACTCCTCAAAGCATGAAGACCGAAACCACCGATAAAGACTCTGCTTGTCATGATGGATCAGTAAAATACTAACCAATATATGATTCCCCCATATACCACAAAAGTAACATGTTACATATTCCCCGTACTTAAAAACTGCTTTTGAAACAATTTGCCTAACTTGTAGGAAAACCGAGGTGAAGATATGGAGACCAGACGTGAAACAGGTCGCTCCCACTCCACAAGACGAAGTCAAGCTGCAGCAATTCATAATCTGTCTGAAAGGGTAAAAGTGCAGTCCCCTGACCAGAATTACGAGTCAAAAATTGTGATATTAATTCATTTATTTATTTTTCTTTTGTTTTATAACCATTGCAATAGGTAACATTGTAGTTAATTGTAGCAGAGACGAAGAGATAGGATTAATCAAAAGATGAAGACTCTTCAGAAGCTAGTGCCAAATGCAAGTAAGGTAAGATGGTCTTCTTTTTTTTTTTTTTCATTTTATCTATTGAAATTTATATAAGTTTCATAGTTCACTCTAAATACATGAGTTTGAGATTTGGGTTTTAATATTATAGACAGATAAAGCATCAATGCTTGATGAAGTGATTGAATACTTAAAACAACTCCAAGCACAAGTCCAAATGATGAGTATGAGAAGCATGCCTCAGATGATGATGCCTCTAGGAATGCAGCAACATCTTCAAACGTCTCTTTTAGCTCGGATGGGAATGGGAGTTGGGCTAGGAATGGGCATGGGAATGCTTGACATCAACTCCATGGCTCGTAATGCTTCCCAATCTCTTCCTCCTCTCATGCATCCTTCACCAGTCACTGCTCCCACTCCCACATTTCTTCCTCCTACCTTTGTGGCAGCGCCTACGATTCCAACACATGCGGCAGCTCAACTGAATTCAAATGCTGGCTCCAATGCTTCAGTCCCTTTGCCTGATCCGTATTGTGCTTTCCTAGCTCAAGTATGTCTGTCAAATTCACATTAATGATCCATTGGAAGCAAGTCAAGCAACTACACTGAAAATTGATTCAAGCAAAAATGGTTTCTACCTTAAGGTTTCTCACCAAAACCAACAATGTTTGATAATTTCTACATTGAGTTTTCCTAATCAAAACAATCAAATATCATTTTTAGTTTTCAACCAAAAATTATAACTTTTACAGCAAACCAATTAATGGCATATTCCTCAGTGATGGCATTATTTTTCTCCATCTTTCTGATACAAAACATTGCTTGATATACATTAATACTGATTTTTTGGCTGCAGTCCATGGATATGGACCTCTACAAAAAGATGGCAGCACTGTATCGACCACAAATTAATCAAACCACACGGACAGCAAGCAGTCCATTGCGACCAAACAATGTACAAGAGGATTAAGATGAAAAACTACTAAACCGTAAAAATGAGGAAAAGGTATCCAAAGTCTTTGAAGTAAAAAAGGCATAGCCTATTGATCCACATAAATTGTGAGAAGAAAATGTGTCTTTAAACACTTTATGTTAACTAAAGATATTGTACAATAGGACCTAGATTTGTTTTAGTCATATTGCATTTTTTTATATATATATGTATTTGATTGGTCATTGGAGTCAATTGTGTTTCCTCTGTTGATAGTTTGGAAGTTTAACTAAAACCCTAGCCATGTTGTGATGCTTTCCAAATTATGCTGTATATATGATAGAAAGAAGGGGGAGGTTGTGTGAGTGTTCTGATCTGCAACTTGGATAGCATGTTTTCTATCTTTTGAATATAGTTTTCCAGAAACAATACAAATCCCCTAGTAATAATCAGCATGGAATGCATATTTATTGCAAAATGGGCCCTCATAACATGCAACAGCATGAACAACAAGGAATATATGTATGTATGTGTGTGTGTGTGTGTGTGTGTGTGTGTATGTATATATATATATATATATATGAATTAATGAAAAATCACTATCTGATAGAGATGATTTCTTGTTTATGATGCTCCTGAAACGATGAAGAGATTACAAATTACAGGGCTATATATCTGAAAACATGCTCAATTGCCAATTGAGGGGCCTAACAGTTAAAATTTGTGTTGCAAGCTAAACCATATATATACAAGTTACAACAGCTAGCTTAGGCTTCCTTGCCTTAAAAAGCTTGAGAATTAATACTCCTTTTCTTTGCTTCAGTTTCTTTATCCTTTCTTTTCCTTTTCTTTTTCCTTTGCAAAAAAGATAAAAAAAGAAAAAGAAAAAGAAACTAAACTTCGTCGGAAACATTATCGGAGTCATTAATTAGTATCAATAAGTCTTGAAAGAATCAAGAATAATTATATAATTGTTCTTGGCTATAAGTAAATATGACATCAAAACAAAGTCTTTGTCATCGATCAAAAGCTTGCTACTCCTTAAGTATGCACATAAGCTACACTTCGATAGCACACATCCCATTTTTTTTGGTCACCATAAATCACATCTCTTATCTCTTTCTTTCTATAGTTAGCATGTTATGCGGATCTTTTCTTATCTATGGAGTAGCCTACGCAATTTAAAGTGTCCAAGGTGATTAGAATATACTTGGTTTACAGTATGATTTGTTGAAAAACTTTTTATACCTAAGAAATTCTTCAAGGTTTAAGCCTATTATCATGAGATTTTCTACTAATAAATTCTCTTCACATCTTTGTAAAAATAGTTAAATTCCAAAATTAGAAAAGGCTTAGAGACAAAGTGCTTCCTCAAACATGCACCTAGACTTGTGTCTTGGACCATGATTTATTAATTAGGCTAAAAACATCAATCCACAACCAGAAAAAATAAATGTGGCAGGCTATAATTAGGCCTTCAAACATCAATATTGGCAACCCGAACATTGGAGTTGATTAAAGAACCTAGTGTGTGTCAAATCTTCTCAAAATGTTAACTTTGATAGCAACTTTGCTGAAGAGTTAGTGATGAAGAATAACAAATTTCACATAACTATGAGCAAGAAAACAGAATGTTATCAGACAATGTGATTTTCAAAAAAAAGAAATGCTACTCGCTCAGCATGACATAGGTTCAAATTAAAAGCAGTCATGACTTATCTTCTAATGCTGAGGATGGTTCCAGAGATTCTATCAGCTTATTATTCTACCTGTCGATTGGCATAAGGCTGGTCGTGCATAAGTCTTCCAACTAGGGGCAGAATAGTAGCCTAGCTAGCTATGCATGTGGTGATGTTAGGAGGGGATCTTGAAACATTGTTCGTACAACCCGACTATTCCATGTGCAGATGCACTCACATATACCAGACATGCATTAATTTAGATTCTCATTGCCCTACAGACTTCCAGGATAGCCAATCCAATCCATCAAAAAAATATTTTTTTTCTCTCCGATAATAACAAACGGTTCACCAGAGAAAATTCTTTCCAAGCTATCAAATGTTAAGTTCCTTTTCATCATTTCTTACAATTCATAGAAATTAATTTTTTGTGGTTCTAAGAGTTTTGGGGGGAGTTATCAACTGAATTAATGGAATTACTCATTTAAATCCTATTCAATGTGCATATTACAGATCTAAGACATATATACCTATATATATATATATATATATATTCAGGATACATATTGTTATTAACTGGATTTGCAAAGATGTTAAACAACAAAGAAAGGTATTCTAGAAGTATTACATCATCACAATTATACCTTGGACAACCATGTCGCCAAAACTTTATCATGCACAATTTGAACATTTCCCCATTGCCTATGACATGTATTCATTAGTCATGGAGTCACATTAAAATCATAGGATATATAGCTATAGGTTTTGTTTTTTGGTGAAGACAAGGGACAATCCTTTCTACATGATGTTGTTTTCTGACAAATTGTGGAAGCTCATTTGTCTGGCAGTTGACGGGACAAGAGCGGCATCATGGGAGGGAACTGTGTCCATGTTCATGGTTGCAACCAAATGACTGGTTAATCTCAATCTCTTATTTAATGTGAAAGGAAGATTGGAAGTGATTTGCAGTTATTAAGGGACCTAGTTCAAGATGTAGCTGCACCTGCACATGATTTTATCCCCGTGTAATGTGTTTTTTTCCATTCTTCAGTGGTTTCTGATATGTCATAGTCGAAGAGGGAGAGATCTAAATATGACAGAATCAGAGCCTTAGTGGAATCTTTCATGGTTCCAAGGCACAATCCATATCCCTTTGATGCTTCACTAAATGTCCTAGCCAAGTAAAGGTGCAAAAATTATTTGAAACACCATAACATATGAAGAAATTATGAAAATACCACCGCAAAATAGAGAGTTTGAGTTTGACCATAAGAGATGATCAGATCACCATGGATCTGACATCTTAATAGCAATAGTTAATAGGTACCACAAGGATGCTGTGGTCATACCCTTCTTCAAGGGGACCATAGATAGCATTATATCCAAATTGACATTTCAATTGGGTTTCTACTTGGAGCTAGCTTCATTTCCTGATAACAATGAAGCAAATCAAGTTGTCTCTAATAAGACAGGATGAGTCTAAGAGTAAAGTATTGGATTTGGAGCAAAGGCTGACCTCATATTCTGAATTTAATTTCCTAGAATGTAGAGTGAGAACCAATTGCATCCTTGTCACAGATTGGATAGAACGGACTGGCCAGTTAGTACTGGAAATTTTGTACACTCTAGAACAGGTGCCAGTTCTAACATGAAGGCGACCTTCCTTTCTATCTCCTCCTTTGATGCATCCAGCTCATTCTTCCAATTCCAATCCTTTTGAACTTTGAATGAAATATTGGCTTAAATGAGAAGAAGAATGGTGAGAGCTTGTAAACTTGAGTGGCTAGGTTTCATTGCCCTGCTTGTCCCATGGGAACTATAAACTATTGAGAAGCAAACTTCTTTGCTCACTAGTTAGCCCAATGGGCTGCAACTTGTATTTCGTGGATCCACAGTTCGTAATTTTATTGGGTTTTCGACTAAGTCTCCTTTCTTTTTTTTGTTGGTTTCATCTCCATTGGCTTCTTTATTTATTTATTTTTTTCCATATTGACTCACTCTACTATGCCTTTGCTTAGATTGTGATTCTTGGGTCTAAAAGGTTGAATTTCAAAGAAATGGGAACATGCTATGTCATCCTTTATGTTTTTTGGCCAATGTATTTCATCCTATTTAAAATAACAACAGCTAGCTTGTTTTGACATGTATAATGAAAATGCTATGTACTTATTATTGCCCTCAATGGAAATGTGTTCTTGAATTCTTGCATGTATGTAGTTAGAAACATTGATTTTAATGATCCATAAATAACCTTATCTAGTCAAGGAAACAAGTAACCACATATCGTTTATGTACAATCTTCATTGGATCTTTGGTACCAATACATGTATTTCCTCAACGCAACAAATTGATCATTGTATGAAGCATAATTTTTGCCAGAATTCTTATCAAACAATACAATACCTCATAGATTCATAATGGAAACTTTCATTTACTCGAAATAATTTAAATAATAGAGGACAAAGAAGATAAAGTTTGATAACTATCACATAGTTAAATGAAACAAAGCAAAACAAAGTTTGATCACTATCTAAAGACAAGTTTACCATCTATAAGGTATCAAACTGGATCACAGATTTACAGGGACAAAGATGAAACAAAGCGAAACAATCTTTAGGTCCAATATACAGGGCAAAAGCACAAGGATAACTCTTAATTACACAAACTTTATCATATTTTGTTACTACAAATTCTCCAGAAGTTTGTTATTCCATATCGGCCTTCAATAACTCAGTGTATGTTAGAACCTCGTATCCAGATGAGAGATGACAGTTTCGAAAGCACTGACTAAAGCCTTCACCTTACTTGAATTGGTCCTGACAAGCTGACTTGCAGTCTGTTCAATCATATTGTTGTATAAAATTCCTGAATCTTTCTTTTCTTCAACATCATTATGTCTCAAAGAAATTCTTTCAGATTGGACTTCAGTGGCATTATCCTGGGAAACATTGGCTGCTGTTCCTCTGGAATTGTTTTCGCTAGTGCCACCTTCACTATTTCGGATATAACTAGTTTTATTGTCATCCAGCACTCTTCGCCTGAACTTAAGTTTCCTAGGAGTACAGTCCTCACCTTTACCATTTTGATCATCAGAATTTCTGTTGTCTACAAGAACTCTTCGCCTGAACTTAAGTTTCCTTGGAGTACAGTCCTCACCTTTACCATTTTGATCATCAGAATTTCTGTTGTCAACAAGAACTCTTCGCCTGAACTTAAGTTTCCTTGGAGTATAGTCCTCACCTTTACCATTTTGATCATCAGCGTTTCTGTTGTCAACAAGAACCCTTTGCCTGAACTTAAGTTTCCTTGGAGTACAGTCATCACCTTTACCATTTTGATCATCAGCATTTCTGTTGTCAACGAGAACCCTCTGCCAGAACTTGAGTCTCCTTGGAGTAAACTCCTCACCTCTACCATTTTGGTTATCACCATTTCTGTCATCAACAAGTACTCTTCGCCTGAACTTGAGTCTCCTTGGAGTGCAGTCCTTAACTTTGCCGTTTCTGTTATCATCATTTCTGTTGTCAGTGAGCACTCTTTGCTCGATTGCAAGTTTCCTTGGAGTGCAATCCTCAGGCAGAACTTCAATCATCTTTCCTCTCTGAAAATTCAACTTTTCACCTTGCAAATGTTTATCTTTTGAAGTAATTATCAAAGCCGTTTTAGGTCTACCCTTGCACGTCATTTTTGAGGTACTTTTTTGGTTTTGTGCAGCCGCTTTATCATGTTCAGACGAGCCATCACCATGGGAAGACTTGGATGATGCCAATAATGACAAGGATGTTAAAGATGGTTGAGTGACATTCAATCCTTTTGGAGTGGATCTCAAGCTTTTCTTACAAGGCATTGAGGATAAGGAAGGAGGCAATTCACAGGCATGAATTCCCTTTGGCCTGTATATCATGTTCTTCTTTCCATATGCCCAAGGTGATTGGCCTTCAGGAATTCTGTTTCGATTGTGTTTCATGCTCTTGTCCTCAGAGGATGAAGATGGCATTACAGACAAAACACTACTTTGAATAGATTCTGCAGGCTTGTTCTCAGGATTTGACTCAATTAGGTACAAAGTCTTCTCAGGAATATTTGAAAACTTGGCTTGCTCAGAGTTAGGTTTCTTAACATTCTCTTGGTCCATCAAATGAGAAACTCCCTTTAGGTTATCAGACCCTTTGGCATTCTTACAGCACAACTTCTCAGGCTTAATTTGCTTTGCATTCTCCTGCTTCTGGGAATGATAAACTCCTCTCAACTTCTCTTTTTTGGCCTTCATGCTTGAAAAACTGGTATTGGGTTCTTCAGGAGACAAAGAAATAGTTGGTGGCATCACATTTTTCTTATCACCAATATCAGTGGACCTCATGCCTTTGCTTATTGTCATTTCACCTTTATTTCTTCCACTAGAAACTCCTTGTGAAGTCATCAACAAAATATGTGTTTCCTTCCTTTTCCAGCCTTCAAAGTTCTGTTTGCTACTTGAACATGCCTGCCTTAGGAGAGACGATGCCTTTGATTGAGGCTTCAGCTTTAAACCTTTTGCATGTGCAATGGTAAAATCAGTTTCCTTGAGAGGTAATAACATTTGTTTTGGTGAGACAAATTCTTTATCAGTCCATGAAGATGCTTCACTTTCAATGCAATCAGGAGCAAAAGGTTTCTGGCTTTTGGAATCAGGAGAAGGCTTCACGCTAACTTCCGGATTTTTCTCTCCTCTTGATAATTTAGTTTCAGTTTGTTCTTCATCTTGGGATTCATCTTCCACTGCCATAGTTTTGATGTCAACTAGATCTTCAGGAGAGGGCTTAAGACTGACAACAGGATAGTCTGGTTTCTGCAGTTTAGTATCATCAGAAGGCTGGACACTAATTTTGTATTTCTTTGCACTGGTTAAATTTGCTTCAACGTTTTCCACATGGTGTTCTCCTTGTGCTGGTGCAATCTTGATGACAACAGGATCATTGGGTTCCTGAATTTTGAAATCAGGAGAAACCTTGAGACTAATTTCTGATTTCTTCCTTCTCTCCCCTAACTTACTTTCAGTTCTTTCCAGAGTTCGACCTGCACCTTGTTTTGTTATAACTATTTTAGGCATTGGACTCCTTGGGCACTTTGACTCTGTTTCAAGTGTAAAACTTGTTCCATATTTGCAAATATCATGGCAAGAACCCTGTGGACTTCTGAGATAACGTGAAAAAACTGTTAGTCCACCATTTGGCATGAACAACTTCCCGGTAGAGTGCCTCCTCATGTTAACACTTTCAAGTTTATTTATCCTTGGGATAGCTGGGACATCAATTATTGCTTCTGCCATCATTATGACTTGCAAGTCTGCAGCAGATCGAAAAGTTTTCATGTTAGAAGCACTTAAATTGCCATATATGCAGACACGGACAAGGCTTGAAGCAAGGTGTGAAACAGTAGTCTGATACAAGTTGAATGAAATTATTAACTTGAGCAGCTCAAAGTAGAAGAGGTTTTTCGCAAGCAAAGAGAAATAAAATTAAAAAACTAAACGACTTGAGCTAAAAAGTCTTCAGGGATCTTATGGTACAAATAATATCTAAAGAAGTTATGCAAAGCAACCTCACAAAGGAAAGTATGAACAAAACCATTCTCCCCTAAATTATAAGAGTTCATTCAGCTTTTCAAAGTGCTTAGGTAAATAATTTGTTTCCTCAAAACCTGCTGAATTCAAGCCTTTTTAACAATAATTAGGCCAACTTTTGTTTCCATTGTTCTTGATACAGCTAAAGAGCCTACAAACTGAAAGAATAAAGGTCATCCTTCGTGCCATGGTAACATCTATGCCCTCTCATAACGTGTAAAACAATGATTATTAGAAAATAATTCACGGTAAGGTACTAAGGTCAGCCTATTCAACCAAATTATTGTTACAATATCATTTTCCAGGACAAAAAAGGTTCTTTTGTAAACATTAAGCATAACCACACAGAAGCCAAGAAGAAATTTCATGCAATCCTATAAATGTCTTTTGATCTCAATTTGGTTGATAGCTGCAAATTTCAATAACAGCTACTGCATTTTAAGTTGCATTTCAATTGCTCCATAAAACAAACCAGGGAATTCCATGTCTTAGGGAGGCAATGACTAATAATCTATAGGAAAAAAAAAAAAGCAATGTCTCCAATCATTTTTGTCAACAGAATTATCAAAGAATTGACAGAAAAAAATAACAACTTGTCATCTAAATGCAATTGTTTAGAAGCATTGCAAAGAACCTAAAAAGAATTACAAGCATTTTGGCAATTCCCCCCATTGATGAAAACTATCTGTTTAAAATGAAATAAAAACCATTTTAAAAACACAAAGATTCTCACCAACCAACACATTCATGAAGAAAACAAAGAGCAACCCATTTGTAATTGACATATTAAAAGCTCAAATTCATATTCAGAACAGAGACCAACCATTTGCAACCCTCACAGATTAAGAAACCCAAAAAAAAAAAAAAAAAAGACCAACCCTAAGCATGGCCAAAAAAAAAACTGAGAAAAAGGTTAATGTGCAGAAGACCAAACCTTTGTGTTTTTGCAACTTCGAAAGGATGGAAATGTGCTTTGCCAAAGCAAACATAAGCAACCAAAGGAAAAAGAAAGAAGAAAGCAACTGCTATCATTTCTGTTTTCCTATTTTTGACAAATGCAAACGCGTTTGTTGAAACCTTAAAACTTAACATAGGTGATTCTTTTAGATATGGACTTTGCATGGTTTTTTTGCAACAAAGGAATATTCCAGAGAGAAAAAGTAGGGGATCCCACCATGAAAAATGATCTTTGTAACTTTGTTAAGAGGAGAGATTGAATAAATATATTTTGTTGCTTTCTGGCTATTGAATAAAGATATTTTCTTCTTTTTTTTTTTTGTCTCATTTTAACATTTTTTTAATTTTCGAAATAGTTTATTAATATAATGAAAAAGTAAAAATATATAAAATATAATCAATAAAAAATAATTAAGTAATTAAATTATAATATCTATTATAAAATAGTTACTTTATAAACAAATAAAACCATGCATTTTGTTGCAAAACAATGTATTAAAAGAAAAAGAAAAAAAAAAAAAAAAAAAAAAAGACCTACCATCTAATTTGTTTGAAGTAAGGCAAACACCAATTATTTGATGCTAATAAGTACTGAGTTAAAATGTTGAAGTTCCCCTGTGAAAATGAATTAAATAAATTCAACTAGCAAAATAGGGGTTATGAAGGATTTGTCAAATTAATTAGGTTTCTTCTTTCTTAAGATTTAAAAGAAAATAAGCCACCAATATTGCCTTGAAAAATAAAATTTTTTCTTTAAAATCAAAATAAGCTGAACTTCAGTCAATCTAAAGAAGATTGTAAATGTTAAAATCTAAATTTCATTTTTGTTGGATGTCGCAAGTGATTATACGAAGCAACTAATCTAAACTAAAGCTATCCAAGACTTTTATGATTGTAATGTGCAAAATGCTTGATAACCTCTTTTAAGTAAAGTTGACATCGGATCGAGTTTAGGATGAGTTTTGTTCGTTTCGAATTCGATCCGATTTTATGTATTATCAAATTCGAACTCGATTCAATTCGATTTTTTTTTTTTTTTATATCGAACCCGACCCCGACCCGATATTATATAATCGTACCCGACTTTCGATCCGACCCGAAATTAATAAAATATTATTTTTAAAATATAAATATTTAAAAATATCATTATATAAATATATATAATTTAATAATTAATTAAAAAATATTTTTTATATAATATCGTGTCGGATTTGTCAAAAATCCGAACTCAACCCAAACTCAATTACTTTATAATCTTATTTGACTCGACTCGAAACCTGAATTTAAAAAAAAAAAAAATCGACCCATAAAATCATGTTGGATCGAAATCCATTAATGACGGGTTAAATTATCGACCCTAATTTTTAGAGACTTTTCCCGGTTCCTTCCGGCCTTAACATGAAAGTGTAGCAAGCATGAGTAAGGCAGAGGAGGAAGGGACGAAAAAGCAGGTTTGGGTGATTTCATTCAATTGCAATAATGGCATCACACAACCAATTACTATCTTAATCAACTCTTCACTAAAGGGAGTTATAGATTAAGGAGAAAGATGGTTGTGCTAATTGTTTACAAAATAAGGATTAGGGTTCCCAAACTAGCAATCTATACCATGGTAAAGATCCTACATATTTTGTCAAAACACTTCTTTCTTCCAATAAACTATCTATTTGTTCAATTTATTTTTATTTTTTGCAAAATTCATTTGCTGGGCTTTGTATCAGAACTAACTTCTTTTCTCAAACAAGAAAAATCGTAACTTAAAACTAAAAAAAAAAAAAAGAAAGTTATCGATATTAAAATTTGAAGTTCATATCTCCATATCTGTTGAATGTTATATCTTAAAGGTTACTTGGTTATCCTTTAAACTTAAGACTCAGGTCCAAAAATCTCTATCCTCCTTAATAACTGGTTCACTAATGTCATTGGCATTTATGGGAATTTTCAACCATCGCTAATGACTCCTCATGGGGATTATAATTTGGTGTGTGACCATTTCATTTGCAGTGTTAATGATTCTCTCTCAAGTGAGAACTGAGACTGGAAAAAGGGAATTGGATACCTCAATAAGCTGCCTTCTCAAAAATTTTTGAATTTCTTTCCTGGCTTTGTTTGGCCACCATCTCATCATTCATGGTTTTATATTCAATTGGAATATATAAGTACTGGTTAAAATAAAGTATCATAACACATCTCTTTCAAGCTGGTAAAGCTAAACCAACTATCAAAGCCACCACAATGATCAATGATAGTAGAATCGGACAAGGCTAAGACTATCATCCCACATCTTTGATTTTCTATCATGGACCAACAATGCAGGAGCTGCAAATAAAGACTTGCAGCTCATCGACTCCCTGTCGGCAGCAACTGATGTTAGGCCCTGAAAACGATTGCTAGGGAAGGGTAAAGAAGTTTAAGGCAACTATCATATATATCAATAGTTCAATATTCAAATTGGACAGTAAAAATTTACATGCATAACAAGGTTAATTCATAGAAAGGGAGCAAATGTTCCATTTATATACAATAGATTTTTAACATCTTTAGCAGGAGAAGAGTGGATTCTATTGATTCTTTGGAGGATCTTTATTGCCGCTGCACTTCATGGATCATGCTGGCAGGTACTTGACCATCCACACATCCATTGCACTAAGAAAGATGCCAAAATGAACTCAACTGATCTGAAAGATAAATTTTCATGACAGAGTTTGAAATACATGGTTCATGGCATCTAACATGGAGAAGTTGTCGAATTGCATGATGGATTCATATGGAGCAATCCCATGCTACAAGATTT